GCTTCGTGGAGACAGCAAGCATTTCTGGAGCTTGTGTGTTGCCTTGTCATTTCCAGGTACATCTGTCTTGTAGCTGTTTCGTAGGCTCATTGGCAGGTCGGGATCTCCCTTCAGGCATGCAAACTCGCAGTACTTTTGAAAAGTATTCAGTCTTATCTTACGGGCTTCTTTGGGTTTCATGAACCTGTCACACACAATACAAACAAGGCCATGAAGGCTCCTCGAGCTTGTATCATGGTGGAGTAGAGTATCGATAGCCTTGTTGAATTGCTCCATGGTAGTGCTCAGTAATTTTGTGTTGCCGTTGTTTGTCGCTGTTTTGGGGGCGAGTCTCTTTTTTTGCTTCATTTTACACCCCTTAAATCACTGGTTTTCCATTGAAGGGTACACACTCCTTAAGTCTCATGATGAGATGAACTAGCAGGCTCAAACAGCTAACTACGGTAAGCATATTAAATTAATCATAGTTTAAGGTACTATCAATTTAGTTACTGTTTGTTGACAGATGCAACTAGACATAGTATATCTAGAAAATCTATGCTCGATATAGGTTTTGACAGTATGATAGGACAATGCGTCTGATAGCCTGCTACCCAATTGTAGCAATAGTAATCATGTCTGAATGGATGCCTAGACCAGTCTATGTGGATGCCTAAGCTAGACTGAATGGATGCCAATGCTAATCACAGTATAGCTGCTATACATGTTAATCTTGTCTGAATGGATGCCTGAACCAGTTCGAATAGATGTCAAAGCTAGTCTGAATAGATGCCAAGTCTGATCACAGTATTGCTGGAAGAAGAACAGATCCAAGCGTGAGGAATCATCTACGTGGTCATACTGCAAGCTTCGCACCTAACCCTGTGCCAAACCTAGATTATTTTATTTCTACTGTGTGGCAAATGATCATAGTTTCAAAATTCTCAAATTGAAAAACAGTTCACTACTTCTAGTCCACAAACCTTTCGAACAATGGCCAACACCAAGAAAACTACTCGCTCAACTGCTCCTACTGGAACTGCAGGAAAGAATGCCCCTGCTAAAAGAGGTTCTCCTTCAACTAACCGGAAGAAGAAAAATCAGATTAAGTCATCTAAGAAGCCGGCTGGATTTTACCTCCGCAGTGAGGTTCTTGAAGGAGGCTTTGAAGCAATTTATTGCACCAAGAACTCCATGGTGACTGATGCCTACACCCATCCTGCCATTGAAGCTCTTAGAGCTAACGATCCCGATGAGCCATTGTGCCAAATTGGAATCATGGGAGCTTATTACATGAGGATTGGTCCTGGAAACAACGCCCCCTCCTCAATGCCACCAATGCTTACACACGCCAAGTGTTTATTAGGGCCCTTGATGAGGGAGACATGTTGCCAGAAGCTAGACTTGAGGCTTTGAGGGTGTTCAAAGAGTTCTTGGAGAAGCCCGAGAACAACCAGTATGGTACCAAAGTTTTTATTGAACAACCTGGATGGGATTTAACTCCCCTTGAAGGTCAAGACCTTCGCAAAATGGATCACATTTTGCAGTACTCAGAGATTGTCAGGATCATTCGAGATGTCTTTGACAATGTTGGGCCTAACTGGGCTGCCAACGATGCCAACAAGGCTGATGCTGATGCCTTCTTCACACCTGGTTTGATCCCCTATGCAGCCCATCGTGATTTGGGGTACCCTGTGGAGCTTGTTGTCCAGGAGCCTCAGCGTGTGGAACAAGCCCAGGCCAATGGAGAAGCACAGGCCAACGAAGAAGAGCCTTAAAAAGGCAATCATGCGACTGTGCAGGAATTGAAAGAAGTAAGTGAGATGGAGAAGTAGAAATGATTTATGTTAACTTTGGTTTGTGAGTAACCGTGATGTGTCTGCCAAGAAAAATATTTGTTTGAGTGTGCTTTGACTACTGAAAAAGAGCTGTCTAGTTAGATAGTACAGGCAATAACTAGTAGGACAAATTACAACTACTCGAGTGGGTGACTGTCTATTATTTGTTGTAAACACTTTTAGCTAAACCTATTTTATTGTTTTAAAATACATTCACCCTTCTTTTCACAGTGAGTATAAAATGTCCAAAGCAGGCTTAACTTCTTTTACAACAGTTACGGTTGAATTGTGCTACAGTGAACACAGTGTACTATATCACCAGTTCTACCATCCAATACCGGTTTAATTGTAGTTTGAAATTTTAGTACTAAGCGAATACCGGTTTAATTGTAGTTTGAAATTTTAGTACTAATAAGCGTGTATCTTTTTTACTTATTAACCAGGTACCCGTAGGGCACGACGTAAGCCTGCTGGTGCTGGGGGACCATGTAAAAGACCAGGGGGCACCGATGGAAATATACGACCATTTCTCACTAAAGGTACAGCCGCATCTGCAATCAAACCTTGAAGCTCTGCAGCAGGCACCTTCTTGCTAGCCCCCCAGGCAAACACCATGAAGTTGTCATCACTGTTTGAGGCACTGATCTCACCACCTGCTTCGACCAAACAAAAGCTGGTATTGTGTTCAAATGACCCACCAAAAAAATGATGGCCAAGGCCATGCTGAATTGGCAATGCAACGCCAAGGCCGTGCATGGTGAAATATTGGTGGATTGTCAATTTATTGCGGTCTGTCTCATTGCGAAACACTAGTGCCAGGCACAAGTCGTGGGCAGGCCAGGATAGTCCTTTGACTTCAACAAATTCTCAGTGTAGGAACACTTCTTCTGTACGGCCCGTTGGAAAGTTCAGTTCGTTCCAAACGAGTTGGATAATCACAATCCACATGACTTGTGTTGCAAAAGCCATACACAAGGTGCTGTGGTTTGTATGCCGTCCGCGTTTCCAGTATGTGCAAGTTGTTGCATTTTTGCTTCTTCTTGGAACGACGGCGTGATTTCTTCTTGGTTCCACCATTCCTACCATTCCGAAAGCCACAAGTTGCAATCTTCAATCCAGGAAGATGATTTGTTAGCTCCATTGCCAAGGGGTTCCTTTTCTCAGTGAATTGCAAAGCAGCAGTTGTGAGATTCTTGGAGATGCGGACCAACTGCGGCTTCAAGCCATGACCAGCAAATGCAGCTCGATGCATCTGCAGTTTGGCTTTGTCTGCCACTGCCTCCATTGGAGTGGGCACATAACCCACTTTCATCCGTTCATTGTTGTACCCATTCATGCCAAAGTGACCAATGGTGGTCCGTTTGAACCCACGTCTAATACACTCAGCCATCATCGAGGCACCATAATATGTCATAGTGGTCTTCGTCAAAAGAGGATCGAACCCACTCATGGCCAACAATACCCCAAAACAGAGTTCATTGGTTAAAGCACGAGGCTCCACCCCCAGCACATAAGTATAATCACCGTGGCAAAACGGGTTTTCCCAGCCCTCCAAACACTCCAACTCCTCAGCTGTAATGCTTTTGAATCGAAACTCTTCCAGCCCTCCAATCGCTTCCAAATTGGGGACAAGGTAGCGGTCGGTCGTTACTGAATGGGACGTTAGCCATGCAGCACAGTCCTCCCAACACTTCCACTTCCCCTCCTTTTCGAGTGCTATGAAGTCATCAGCATTTAGTTTTGTAAGCCATGCCATTTCTATTTCATTAAAGCTGCACAAAAACAAGCCACAAATTGGTTAGATTGTATGACAGAAAAAAAACACAAAACAAAATGATACGTCTTCTTGTCCGCACTTACTGTTCGTTATATGTCGATGCACCACTAAGCGGCACACTATACAAGTGTTGCCGCGCTGCCTTTTTCATGGCACCATCCTCGTGCTCATATATATATAGTGTAGGGACTAAGTCATCCACCTCCTTCCCCTCTCTTCTAGAGGTACCACTTGATGAAGTATCCCACAACTTTTTGTGCCGATCCTTCAGCTCCGATTTCAATGCATCAAACTGTGGACACCTAGAGTGTGCCACCAAATCTGGGCCACCAACATTCACCTTGACAAAATTGAATTCATCAACCAATGGTTTGACAGTTCCATCACCATAGAGTTGCTTCGTACGACCTGCAAATGGATTAGCAATTGGGGGGCCCCCAAGTTGCTCCAAGTAATAGATTTCTGAATCCAAATCAAGAATCCAGAACTGTTCATCCTGATTAGGCACTGGGTGTACAGTTTCAACGATTGCATTGGAGCCCAGTGCCTTCACGATGATCCCGATTTTGTTGTGTCGATGGCTGATAAAAACTAAGCCTTTCAGACAGTTGCTGGTTTCATGGACGTTTTCATTGACCACCCAGAATCGTCTTGTTCCATCCGGTAAGAGATATTCCAGATCAGTTGGAGTGCATTTGGCTTTCACCTCCAGAATACCCAATGTATCGAACTTGTCCACATACACCACCGTCTCTTTTCCCACGACTTTGTTCAAAGCACCATTGGTACGATTCCCACCCTGGTTGTCATCGGCACGGACCATGACAGGTGGTACTTCATTCCTTGGTGCTTTCTCTTTTCTCACTGCTTTGTTCAAGACACCATTGGTACGATTCCCACCCTGGTTGTCATGGGCACGGACCATGACAGGCGGTACTTCATTCCTTGGTGCTTTTTCATGCTGAGATTTGTTACGGTGTCGACGCTTTGGGAGATGGTGTTGGTGTTGATGCTTCTGGCGGACCTTCTTGTTCTTCTTGTTCTTCTTGTATGCCATTGTTGGTCTGCAAATTGAATTCACTGGTTGAGTAGGATTGCTTCAGCTATACGAGTAGTGCAATTTCTGCTTCAGCTGTACGATTTGTGCTTCGTGCACAACCTCTGCCCTTGCCTTTCTCACCAATGACGACCACAAGCCACAAGCCACAAGCCACAAGCCACAAGCCGCCTGCCTTCAACGCCAGCCTTCAAAGCCAGCCTTCTCTGGGCGCGAAATGCTTTTTAAAAAGGCAACCATCACGGAGTGCTTTTCAAAAAGGCACCCATCAGGGCGAGTGCTCTTCTTTTTTTGGATTTCTTGGTGCTCTTCTTTTTTGGATCTTGCTTGGATCTCACTGGAAAAGAACATGGAGCCTCACGCACTTTGCCCACCATCCAGAAGGATTGAAGAAGCTAATAGCTACCGGTATCCAACCCCAGAATTTAGAAGTGGACTACTAGTACTGGAAATAGACTAGTCTAATGATTGCAACTGGAAATGATGATGGAAGGGGTGATGGGAGTTTCTTGCATGAACTGTTACAAAGTCTTTTGGTACGCTGGCAGGCTGTCAAAGTCAAATGGAAGGTGTCCCCACGACTGCGACGACAAATGGCCCTGTTGCTGTTGATTGCCTTGGCCATTTGCAGTCGTTTGTTCCACAGCAATTAAATTTTTTGGACATCAAATGGTACCATCGACAAGCCACAACGATGACGAGTATACTGTCCAGCTCAGTACATACTATGTGCCACCACGAGAGACACATGGGACGGATCCCCAGTTGCATCGGAATTTTCGTAATTACGTCTATTCAGCTATTCGCAACGGATATGAACCACCCATCGTCATCGAGGCAGGCAAAGGGACATTTGCGATGGATTGAGCGAATGGAACAATACCTACCGTACGAGTGACGAAGCAAGCCCAAACCAACAACGAGAACAAGAAAATCTTGCTCATGTTTACAGACTCTTTGGATGTCCTCATCATCTCGCCCGTACAACAGATTTCAAAGGCATACAAACGCATCGGAAGCACTTTGTGTTACACGAACATGTGAACATGATCTGGAAGCAAAACAATTCATTATCAAACAAGCCCCAGATCCGGAAAACGACTATATTCCTCAACGGTGGACTTATGCTCGGAACGCCCCAAACACTCATGCATCTCTTTGAGTGAGGTTGATGATCAGGCAGCTTTGGTACGATTCTGGCAGCAACACCCAAAATAAACTCACGCTGGATTACATGTATGACTCAGAGATTTGTGGAGTTATTCCTAGCGACCCGACACTGCTCAAAAAATATTGGAATTTCAGTGCAAAACTTATTGACCTCGGCAGTCTTGCTGCCAGAGCCCTCAACCCCTTTAAGGTCCTCACGTAACCATCTAGTCCCATTTTCTCATGACTGACTGTTTTACTAGTAATTATCGCGTATTTTTGATGAAAGACACCACCATGACGCCGCTGGCAAGATGGTGCTGGATAATGAGCTGTGGTTGGCCAATCCAGACGTCCGATGGTTCATCGGACTCCTCAAAGCCTCCTCTCATTGGCTCTGAACATATTGACAGTCATCTCTGCGCGTACAATTGGCTGATTGTTGTTGAAATGGTGGTAGTGAAATCGACGAAATTCGACATGTTCAATAGCGGCAGCGGCTAGCAAGGCGCACTCGAAGAGATGCCTGTCAATATGTACATGGGCATGGAGAGGAGAATGTCAGCTTTCGAACGCTATTTTGGGAAAGTCATTTGACCGCCGCATTGTTATTTACCAACCATCCTTGGCAAGGCTGTCTTGCCATGGAATTTTCGCTCCATTTCCTATTATCTCAGCATTTACTGCTGTCGGTGGCAGCCAGGCTCACCCATGTTTCTGAAGGGAGGAATGGAATCTCGCTATCCAGCATTGTCATTCTGGTAGTGATTGTACATGACGGATTTCGTGGCAGGATCGTCCGCTGAGTGGTCACATAATGATGTTGCCTCGCATCGTGAAGAAACGGCAAATAGCCAAAGGCAAGAGACAACAGTCCACATTGTTAGGAGCCATGGCGAATATCAGCAACATCAGCAGCAGCAACACTGACCAAGATGGCTACATTGGGGAGTCAGTTCGCTACCAAATCTTGAAGCACCACAATGATGCCTCGCCGGATTGGGTGACTGATATGATATGGAGGAAGGAAGATGAGCCACCAGTCAAGAAGTATGAGGAGGATGGTTATATGAGTATCTCACCTGATCGTGAACCACGCTTGATTGTGATGGGATCTTGGAAGATTGAACGCTCATACGGACGCTCCAGCAATACATTATCGACCACTGTGTTTGAAATGGTCTTGATGGATGGGTCCGAAACACTTATCAAAGCCGTGACAAACAGCGGGCTGTCCTTCCTTTTGAAGAACACTGGAGTGATGATTGGGTCCACCGTTATCCTCAAGGACTACGTCGTCCTCCACCATTCGACTGGGAATGACTGCACCTTCAAGAAGTGTCTCCTTTTGAAGAACTTCTCGTGGAAGCTACCGCCTGATCGACCCATCATTGAACCAGTTGGAGCTGGAATCCGTCCAGTGGCTCGCCGACTTACATATGCCCGCAGCAACGTTGTCGATACGGTGGAAACAACTCCACATTCCATCTGCTATGACTTGACCGGCATCAACAATTGTCGCAGAAGTGGCGAGATTCTATTTACCGAGCCTGTGTTTTTGGATGAGAACAGTGTGTCGAGCCAAGACAAGTTAGTGAACGTTGGACACGGGTACCGTGAGTTCGCTGCCGGAGAGTGGATCTTACATATGCCCACTCGGGGAGAATGGATCGACTTCGTGATGACACAGTGCCTTCCCAACAACAGGAAACTCTGGGTAAATCCGATGTGGCAGATACCTCCTCGCTGTCTTGTCAGTGGAGCGGATTCGGATAGCTCTTCAGTGCAGGAGGAGCAGTGTGAATGCATGAGTCACTGGGGTTTTGATCATTGCGTGGTCTTTATGGTCCCTCATCGTGAACTGGATCTTGATCAAATCTTCCTGTCTTGTCAGCGTCGATTCACCAATGTCGAGGCTGATTCCTTCGCCCAACTCCTTCCTCGCCACAAGCGATGGTGCATCTACTGGTGGTACGCCGTGAATGTATTCCAGATCCGTGCTACCCGTCGGCCTCTGCCATCTTGCTTCGTTGATTCGGTTCGAAAGCGATACAAGAACAAGGAAAGTGCAGAGGAGTATTCTGGATTTATCGGAAATGTGTAAGCGATCAGTCGTATGCGGCATTGGTGGCAGTTGTAGTTGCACTGCTGGTGCGAAATAACTCGGAACGGATAAGTATTGCGATTGTAGGCGTTGAGAAGTAAAAGAAGGTTCTGTTTGCTGAAAAAATTCAGCGATGTTGCAGACCTCGCTTCAAGAGTTGGTAGTGTTACTATAAAGAACTTAGTAGTATCAAATCTGTTTGTCCAAGCTACAACAATTCCTTAGTTTTAGCGAGCTAGTCAGTAGTTGGCGAATCGTCTTCCAAGCAAGCCAATGCTTCTCGCTCATAGTCAGTCTGTGCGTCTCCGATTCCCACACTATCGATCATGTCTAATGTTTCAGCGAGCACATGTTCCTCGCTCATGCAGAACTGGCTTTCCTGCGTCGTTTTACCTGTATCAAGCAGGCTGGCTGGCACCTCTTTTCCATAAAACTTACACTGTTTCGAACGTTTGGTCTTGTGGCCACTCTGACCACACAATGCGCACTTCGGATTGTTTTCTCCACCATGACCATCTTTTTTCTTCATCCGCTGACCACTCTCGTAGTTTCTTCCCTTTGCAATGTCATCCTTCACTTTCGCGTGATATTCCTTCAGTTTGTTGTAGATCTTCTCCATGCGGGCCTTCTTAGAAGAAGTTGTCTTTTCCTTCCGGAGTCGTTCCTGTCTCATCTAAGAAGCGCAATTGTAGGTAATTCTGAAAACGAGACCTCAGGTCTCGTTTGGGAAGCACATCCCAACCTCTCCTTCCGAACCAAGTCCAAGGTTCCAATTAGGCAACCGGTGCTCCAGGAGATATAAGTTGTAGGCCATGAGGATCTTTTAAGTCGGAGATACCTCTATCTTTTTGGTGACTCATCTACTGCTCTATTTGGATTAGCGTTAATAATCTAGCATTTTGATATCCCACTCTTATCCTATTTTTATCGTACGTCGTTTTAAGCTGGTTGTTATGTTAGAACTGTGTGCACACCGTCAGGTCCATGTTAGTGGTGACGCGAACGCCTCTGCGAGTCAGATACGAACCCTCGTTCGAGGACTCTATTGTTGTCTGTGTGCTGAATTGATCATCCTTGCTTGCAGATGTTTACCATCGAAGCATTATTCCATAAATCGACGGATGACTAGATTGTGACTTCTTTTTAGTAGCAATGACTTAACGGTTGGTTACACCAATGGGCACAAGGGTAACATACCACGTACGAAGTTGTTTCCCCTGCCAGTAGTCCACAAGACGAATAGACTTGTAAAGTACGTCACAGTTATATCCCAGCCTGGTCGCACAGCTTCAGTACATACTTGTGCCACC